GGGAGCCGATCCAGGGTTTGAACCCCTGAGCTGCGGCGCGTGGTAAGCGTGCCACTTGCCATTACACCACGTACGCTTCATACAGTGTAATATATCGGATATCAAGTTGGTGTTCAACACAAGTTTGACAAGCTTGACACTAGGTTACAAATTCGCTAGACAGGCGATGGCAAGGCTTACAGGGTGTTGACAAGGTTGTTCCTTATTCACTTCTATACAGTTTTCAGGACTCGACAAGTGTTTAAAGGTGGGCCCCTCCCGCGAGGTTATTAGCACCATGCGCCATGCATTCTACTTTCATCCAGTCCGTAGTCGTTTTCGAACTCCATTCGGCCTATGAAATGATCTGCAGGGGCTCAAAGATCTAAAAATCAATATTTTCGTCGCCTCAGATAAGTGATTACCACATAACCAGCTCTGAGGGGAACATTAAGTCTGGAGGGAGCCGAGCGGGGATTTTACTCCCGAACCGCAACCGGATAAGCAGCGCCACTTGCCACTATATGATCTCGACCATTTCTAGACAGACCTGCTACAAGCTGTCTGACTACGAAAGCCTTGAAAGACTTGGACAGCCTGAGCGATCTTGGTCGGATGAAATAAGTCCCTGCATTTCCTCAGAAAACTATGAGCGCTTACTGCATTCTAGTGGCATAATTCTCATGAGACAATTGCATGCAAACTGTTATTGTCAGTCTTCAGAACCCACCCACCTTTATCTCTGGCAATATCACTAGTAAACATCTGAGAACGTTAAAATTGTAAACAGCTATTTTTGTGGACTTCTCGTGTTCCACTGAGTTTACATATCATGACAGCAAAGAGCGACCACGGGCTTATCACTCACCCCACCGCCACTGCTGCTTCTCACCAGGTTCTGCTCGGGTGAGCACAGGCATGGAACGTTTCTGTGTTTTTCAGGGCAGGATATTGTAAGAATGAGCTTTCTGGTATGGATTCCATCACTAATTCTACGTCTACTCAAAATCATTGTGGTAATTTGGGATGGACTTCCTACATACTGACTTAAGGGTAGGAGGCTTGGTTGGCCTGGGTGGAAGCCGATCAGCTATACGAGTTCCCCATAGTGCGGGCGGTAAACGGCGGTGAATGCCACTACATCACCTCCGCTAGAATGAAGGTTTGCTCATAAAGATCCGTGATAACGAAAACCCGTAATCTAAAGAAAAGACCCACAACTCCTGCTGTTGCGAAGTTATTTTTAGTAAGATCGGTAATTGCTGGCCTGAAAGATACAGCTGATAACGTCGCAATCAGTCGGGGCGGGGTCAGAAGGGACGGGATGAGCCAGCTTCTAACTGCCCTACACTACCAGTAGTGGTGATCGATTAGTGATCGATTCAGGAAGAAAACAACCAGTGGTAAAACGCCGCCTGTGGGCTTATACCATCAGTACTGAAGCTAGACTCCATGGCCGTATTTCATTCAAACCTGGCGCCCGTGCTTCTAGAAGGGTACTGCACTTGCAACCATGACTGTCCCCCTCACGATACACTGGTGTCAAATGGGAACATCCCACCAATAATGCACCCTACGACATATACAAGTATACAGCCACGCCCACTCAATCGCTGGGATGTTTAGTATGCAAACCAGGAGGGGCACTGTGGAACACTGAAGAAGGTAGTGTTCGTTTCCGGCACTGTGGAACACTGACCACTCCCTTCTGAATGCCCCACAGTTTTCGTTTTTTCCTTGGATGAAATTCTGAATGCGAAACTGGCCAAGACGAGTCGACGCTCACGTTACAGTTGCAGTTTTTGTTGAGTTTTCAGAAACGACTCATTCAGCAGTATTGCCCCCACACGAATTCATCTTCTTCAGGGGCTTAGTCGTTTCGAGTTAGGAAACGAACCCTATCCCGTCAGGCGGTCTATCCAAACTGGCAGCTATGATGAGGTATTTGAAACTCAACGGAAAATCGTACACGGAAGATATGCTCTAATCAAAATTCCACAGTGGATGGGAAGGAATCTGCCCTTGAACACGTTATACTGCTCCTGCTCTTCCAGTTACCTACCAGGCCAATGGCGCTTCAAGGGTTGCAGGCTTTGTCAAACTGAGCTCGAAATCGGGGTTCAGCGATCGACCACGTGCAAGGCCCGGAAACGCGCCTATGTGGAACGCTATGGAAGTAGAAAGTACAAGTCAATCGCGACCAAAGGGAAAGGTTTCACAAATGTAGTGCCAATGTCGCAGGTCATAGAATAGGCAAGTCACAACCTAAGGATCCAGAGCTCGTTAAACTCCTTCTAGCGCACATATCAGCGTTCTTGCTCAGTTTCAACTTTGAATTCCAGAATTCAAACAAATTCCCTCCTTCCCTTACTGATGATCACAGAGGAGGGATGATAACCTTGTTTTGTTTCCGACTTAGGGAACGTGCTAAACGGAAACTGAACTACTTCTTTGAACTGACCCCCCCCCACACAACAACTAAATTAATTATGCCACAATAAATTTGATTTATCTATAAAATAAGCAGCCTTCTCCAAGTAAGTCCATTGAAATTGGAATGTGAAACTTACAGTGAATTTATAGTAAATCATATATTACTACTATATTTTGTATATGGTTTCTGGTTCGAACCCTTGGTCTGAAAATAAGAGTCTACCCAGACCAGAATGAAATTCACTTCCAATTCAGGCACTACCACACCCACACCCGAATCTAAAACAGTAAACATGATCAGGTCTTTAATGCATTATGCAGTTGCAGGTTCCATCCTGTTTTACAGACAGCTCTAGTGCTGGCTAAAAGGGTGCTCAATATATCGTATGCGAGTAAATTACCCAAAACATCTGTACAAAGAGAGATCTTGCTCTTTGCTTATGGTGTAGTGAGGTTTTCCCCAGGTCTCAGCTCAGTCGTAGCAGTTTCTATTCGACGTTCACGCGGTTGACGGCGCGCCTGTTTGCCATGGATTTCTATTTGCGTTTCTTTTTTCCCGCTGTCGCAGCGGCCGTTTGGATAGGATTGCAAACATCACCATATTTACAAGCGGCGTCGACGTTTTCCGGGGTTCTGCGGTCGACCACCTGCAGGCCCGGAAACGCGCCTATGTGGAACGCTACGGTAGTAGTGCTGAAACGTCAAATGCGGCCAAAGAGATGAGATATCACAAAAGTAGAGCCAATCTCCAGGCCCATGGAAGCAACAGAAACCTACTAGCAGCAGCGCGTCACGAGAGTCCGCTCGCATGATCAACGATCTGCTTACTCAGCTCGCGGATTGCTTGCGGCCAACTTGCCACCCTTGACTTTCAACGCGCGCTCTCTCTCGTTCTTTCGCCTTCTCTTGATGCCCTGCCCCCCCCCCGAGCCCGTTTTCTTCATGCCAGCAAACACTGGACAATGTATGCTCAGCCATCCAGACATTCCACATCGGACATTATCATGCGCCTTTTGAGCGTATTAACTGCTATTGGTCGGAGCCAACAGCCCCAGACCGATGATGGGATAACTCAATTTGCTGGCAACTCCTTGCCAAACCTTGGGAATGTTATATGTAGCCCGGTAAGTGTATGGGAATAGAACTCCTGATACACAACATAAGTTCTATCCCGGCATGAGTGGTCCAGCTCCGCATCGACATGTATCAATCAATCGCTGACCCCCATCTGAGTTCGGCCGGCCGTCTCTCGCTCCACTCGGCGCTTTTTTCTCGTTGCGTTTGCCAAGGACGAAATCACATGACCTAGCGCTCGAAGTAAGCACTAACTGCCCGCGCGACCATCCACAAGGCGACCGGGGCAAAGATGGACGGAGTCGCACTCAGGGAAAACCTTGAGGTGCTGGAAAGTTCTCTAGGAGGTTCGTTCTCATCACAAGGTAAATGCGATTGGAAGACAGGAGCTGCTGGTTCCTCCTCGCTCATCCTCGCACAGGAGGTTATGGGGGCCGTTTCTTTACTTTGGTAGAGTCAACCTACGTCTAATCCACGGTAACCGGACCCATGCTAGAAGACGAGTATTGATCTCTCGGCATGGACCTTCAAGTACTTGAGCTAATATATTGATTCAGCTAACATATTAGTAAAAGTTCGACTCATGCACTCCGAAATCGGAAGTTGCCTTACAATATTCCGTACTCCATAGTAATCCCTTTGAATTGACAACCTTGCTGGGATCGCTTCGACGAGTAGCACTTCCTTTTCGCGGCGGAGGCCGACAGAGATAACTCTAATTTGAGAACTAGCCAAGCAGGGCTAGCCTTACCGTTCATAGACTTCCCGATCCCGCAGAGCGGAAATACTAAAGCGGGTAATGATAGCAATTCATGGATGAGTTTGAGCGAACTAACGATGCTGCCAAGGAAAGAGAGAGAGAGAGAGAGAGAGAGAGAGATGTTTCTCTTCATTCCACTAGATTTTCTTCTGGTAGTTGCCCATATTTTCTTCAGAGCACCAATACTCCCTCACTGAGCTATGATTTCCCTCACAAGTGAGTCTCGAGTGGGGGACGTGTGAGCGAAATGGCGTAACCATCGCCGCCGTCACCGGGCGCTCAACGCATTGCGTGCCCTCGGTCAAAACTGGTCGTCGGCTATTATTTGGCGCTTGCGGCGCCAGAAAAAAATTGAAAGAGCTAGGGAATTCCGGAGGGTGCAGCGCAGGAAGCGAGTCAACATCGAGGCACATAGAGATGGCATACCGTACTCCAGCCCCGTGCGCGGTCGAGATTTCAAGCAAATACGATTATTGTGCAATCTACCGGACACCCTAAACGTTGACGACGGCGTGTCAACGTACGTGGAGCAGGTTCACGTCAGATTCTGCGCATCAACAAACTAGCATTGAGCTACAGTGGATTTGAAAGAACTGGCATTAAATGTGAGCGCGTATTAATCAGCGATCTCATGCTGCCTACGAGAGCAATTCACGAGGATCACCCGGCGACAGACAAAGACGCCGTCTGGCGACTTGCCAACGCGTGCCTTCCAAAATCAACCCAAGGTCACGCCAGCTGCCGTTCTCATCAATGGTCTCGCGCACAGTCTGCAAGTGCTATGATAAGGTTCCTACCGAGATCGTCCGTATCGGTGGTGACGTCCATGTTGTGCATGTGGTAGTCGATCATCAGCGGGTTTGCCGAAGATGAACGCACACAGCGCGACTGAAACGGAGCTATTTACCTTCTTGGGAGGGATCTGTGTGATCAAGCAAAAGTTAAAATACACACCATGCCATGGCCGAAAATTCCGCCGGACGGACTTGGCCGCGGTTCGGTGTCGATGACGCGTCAGACGGGAGTTTTGTATTTTCCACCGGAGTGGTGCGGAATCCGGGTGGGGGAGAGGCTGTATCGTGTGACCGGACTGGAGTAGTGTACCGGCACAAGCGACGACGCGGGGGGGGGGCATTTTGCACTTTCGTTGCTTCACTACTCCGGTTTACAAGTCTCACTCTGGTGAAACCTGTGAACTCTTGTGAAGCTGGAGCAAGCTCGTCGAGCCACCATGGTAAAACCTGTCAACTCTTGTAAGCTCACGAAATGGCTCTCTAGATGGAGTCGACACGTCGATGGGAAGTAGCAAAAGTGCAAAATGCCCCTCCGTCGCTGAACTGCGCCCAACATTGTAATGATAACTTACCTTATGCTCAATGAATGTGCTAAAATGAGCGATTGGAAACTGGGCATGACAATCGCCACAGAGCAGGAGATCGTACCGATCGTGAGGCGACGACGCTCCGCGAGACATCGGAGAGTCTGTCGCCTGAAGCGATGTGCTGAGTTCTTCTGACGCCATCGGCGAGCCCAGATGACGTACCTTCATCTCCGTCAAGTCAACTTCTGCAGCAGATTCAACGCCACTGTCCGATGACGCCATGGGCGTACTTCCTAAATGGGACGCTATAGAGGATCGTACTGAATTCTAACCAAGACCACCTCACCACTCTCTTTGAGTACTTCGTTATCAGCATCACATGCGTTTTTCCGTCGACGTCTATTGCCGTCTGTGACCTTAAAGAAACAGAATTCCGTAGGAGGACAAGAAAGCGGAAAGGTAGAGACATACCTGTGACTTTGACCGGGAGATACAGCTCATCGAATGTACTATCTCTTGTATTCAGTTCGTGATTTTTCTTTTTCTTTACAAGGCAGTCAAAATTTGGTTTAAGCAGTGAAATCAGTCGTTAAGTCCTCCGAAAAGCCTGAAATCATAAAAAGCTGTCAGTGCTGAGAAACATGAAAATTCATCCGGAAGGCAAACCTCTGCTATTTCATCGGTAACAGTTGGAGGGCAATTTCTCGTCGTGGGACTGCACAGCGATGGTGGATTGAATGCCTGTAAAAACCAAAAACCAGTACTGCAGTAACCATAGTGGGCAACGCGTAGTGAGAAGAGAAATGACAAAGTACCAACACAGTCTTTAGGAGGAGTCTCAGCAGTGATTTAGGTCAGGAGAGGTGGAGTCAAAAATGGCAACAGCCTAGTACTATTTCGGTCTCTCAACATTCGGACACCCCGAATAAAAAGTAGAACAAAGGTGTGAGATAAGAGATTGGAGCCGAAACAAAGTCGTATCAGGGAGACAGACATAATGCGAACCCGGCCTGCGGACATTACAAGCCTTGATATATGGAACCAACAGGAGGTGATATTTCTTATGCACATAATATGGGTAACCCTGAAATGAAAATCAGGGTGTATACCTGCAGGAAAGACGACTAATGACTGTGGGCCCTGGTGAAGACCGAAGAAATGACAAAAGAGACCGAAAAAGGCTTTTCTGTGAGCTCAAGAGTGACGACAACAAAAAGCACGCGACTGGCGTGAGCGCGGAAGCTGGCGTGTGCGGAAGTGTCCGTGGCGGAAGAAGACCGGTAGAGTGTGGCCGGGAACCGGACAGTCCAAACAAAGTGGGACGAAATGCACACGAAAGAAGCAGTGTCGCTTCCGGGAACATGCAACGTGTGACGTCATACGGGAAAGATGCCGACGTGTGTGATGGAGGGTGGACAGCCGCTATGCAGGAGAGAGTAGGAAGCCGACGGAGGAAAGTAAGTTCGTCCGGGACGAGAACTGTCGAAAAAGAAGGCGGAGACTGAGGTGAAAGTGCTCGACCAGTGGGGTTGGGATATAATCACGTTGCGCGGCACACACACACATACACACGCAAAAAGCGCCAACCTGAACAGACCGGTCCTCGTCTTTCGCTTTCGCCAGCCACCATCGAGCATTGCGTAACGCATACGTAGCGCAAAAAACGTAACGCAATGCTCGCGCATCAAAAGTGAACTCACTGAATAGGTCTGCCCCGGCAACCTCGCTCAGCAGAATCTGGCGCGGGCGTCATCATGTTCGCTCCTTCAAAGGTCACTCACTCACTCAGCGTAATGTTTTGCTTGAGACGAAGAAGAAGAAATTACAACCATCGAGAGACAGAGAAGAAAATGCAGGAGCAGGAGGACTAGAACAAGACGGGAAGTGCTTGGGACAGGCGTGAAAGACGTAAGAGGGTATGGAAAAACGGGGAAGTGGGGAACTTGCAGAAGTTCGATGAGTAAAGGTACAAAGCCCTCCCAGGATGACCTTACTTTCTTCGCCAACGATATAAACACATATGTGCATATTTGAAGTAAAGGTAATGAGGCGAATGTGGTGTACAGGTCAAGTGATTACCACTCGCCCTGGTCCTGGGTTCAAAACCCGTGTCGACTTCCGGATAGACAAGCAAGCCTTCTACCCTCTGGGGTGGTATCTTGGTACCAGATTCGTCTGGGAGGATAAAACACTGACTTGTACATCGGCTGGCCACCGCAAGTCATTTATAGGCCACATCGCATTCAATAAGCTTCTAGGATCCTGAATGGAAGTAGTGCGCAGTTCGCGACGGGGGGGGCATTTCGCACTTTCGTTGCTTCACTAGTTCCTGTTTACAAGTCTCACTCTGGTGAAACCTGTGAACTCTTGTGGAGCTGGAGCAAGCTCGTCAAGCCATCATGGACTCGAGAATAGGATGCCTAGATGGGTTGACACTTCGATGGGAAGTAGGGAAGTATCAAAAGGCGAAACCCTCCCCCCCCCTCTCCCGTCGCCGAAGTGCCCGTGGAAGTAGAATGCGTGCCGCATCCCACAAGGGGATTGATCAACGACGAAGACTTTATCCCTTACCAAGGTGATTCCCCTCCTAGTAACTGGAGTCGCTTCCTAACTTCTCATATGTAGTGCTTCTGGATACCTTCGTATTACTGCCAGAGCACCCTGAGGTCTTATGACCCCCTTTTTTGCTAAGGATGTACCAGTAATGTACACCAGATTGAGACTGTGACCGTTAGTTTATGGAAGCAACTAAAGTGCCGAATTGCCCCTGCCCCTTAGGCGAACTGCGCACTACTTCCATCAGGATCCTAGAGCTTACCGTGAATGCTATGTGGCCGTAAATGACTTGCGGAGCTGCCACGATGTACAATGTCGTGTTCTTTCACCTTCCAGAACGAATCTTGTATGCCAAGATACACACCCCCAGAGCGTCGTAGCAAGGCTTAACTTGTACATATCCGGGAAGTCGACAGGGGCTTTTTTGAACCCCAGGACCAGGCGATGGCAATCACTTGACGATTATACGTACATTCGCCTTCATTACCTTTTACTTCAAATATGTACATATGCTTTTTAATAGGTTTTGGCGAAGAAAGTAAGCCCGTCAGCCTGGAGGGCCACCCTTCTTTACCTCTTACTCATCGAACTTCTGCAAGTTCCCCACTTCCCCGTTTTTCCATACCCTCTTACGTCTTTCACGCCTGTCCCAAGCACTTCCCGTCTTGTTCTAGTCCTCCTGCTCCTGCATTTTCTTCTCTGTCTCTCGATGGTTGTAATTTCTTCTTCTTCGTCTTCGAAGCAAACATTAACGACCTGAGTGATGAGGTGCACCTCTTGAAGGAAGCGAACATGATGACGCCCGCGCCCCAGAATTTCTTGCTTAAGCGAGGTTGCCGGGGCAGACCTATTCAGTGAGTTCACTTTTGATGCGCGAGCATTGCGTTACGTTTTTTGCGCTACGTATGCGTTACGCAATGCTCGATGGTGGCTGGCGAAAGCGAAAGACGAGGACCGGTCTGTTCAGGTTGGCGCTTTTTGCGTGTGTATGTGTGTGTGTGTGTGCCGCGCAACGTGATTATATCCCAACCCCACTGGTCGAGCACTTTCACCTCAGTCTCCGCCTTCTTTTTCGACAGTTCTCGTCCCGGACGAACTTACTTTCCTCCGTCGGCTTCCTACTCTCTCCTGCATAGCGGCTGTCCACCCTCCATCACACACGTCGGCATCTTTCCCGTATGACGTCACACGTTGCATGTTCCCGGAAGCGACACTGCTTCTTTCGTGTGCATTTCGTCCCACTTTGTTTGGACTGTCCGGTTCCCGGCCACACTCTACCGGTCTTCTTCCGCCACGGACACTTCCGCACACGCCAGCTTCCGCGCTCACGCCAAGTCGCGTGCTTTTTGTTGTCGTCACTCTTGAGCTCACAGAAAAGCCTTTTTCGGTCTCTTTTGTCATTTCTTCGATCTTCACC